CGCAATTTAATTAAATTTTAACGCGTCCGAGAATAAATTTTCCGAAATGAAATTGGAAATTACTTTTACAGCCGTGTTTTAATACTATACCTACCTAGTTTTAATTAGAAAACAGAATTTTTGATGTTGATGCTTTTTTTAGGTTATGTTGTGCGTTTGAGCTTATGTTTCGCTAATGTCATGACTGTCTAATGCGGTCGGGGCATAAAAGCCGTCCTATTTCATGCCCGGTGACATATCTTGCACCTGTGCCGCACGCCGCCTCCGACACCGCCACTCAGCCTAAACGTATTTACATACAAATATATACGCGTGGTCGCACGTGGCATTTAGAGCCGCGCCGCGCCACCACTGCCACCACCACGAGCATTGATGTCTCATGCACTACACTCAATTTTCCAAATTGAAAAACGTATTACGCGAAATACACATCTGCATCACGTACGGCGCGTTGCCGTCTCTCCACACCTATCCAGTCTAGGACACGTAGAAACCCAACATTCAACTATGGCTTGAAAGCAAGCAAAAAAGCAAAAAGTCCTTGTGACTGGGTCGATATTTAATATTTTGAAAACATTTTAATTTTTTATCTCGAAAATATTTCCACGACGCTTCTTCATCTTATTTATACATTCGGTCATTTTAGGAGCGTTCATTTTGACGTTTGTGTTCGCCGAGAATGCAACCCAATATACACCGTTCAGCGAAAATGGCAGGCCTTTGGAAGATTGGTTGTCTTGACGTTTTGTAAAATAGTATCGTGCAGCCGTCCATAAAATCGACAACTTCTAATAACGCGCTCGCGTCCGTAAAAGTTGCGCTGGAATTTTGATTAATTTGACAGTTTTGTTGTCGAAGACTTTTTAAGTTCCGCGCAGCGCAGACTCCTCCATCATACATCAAACTAAGTCAAGAAAAGCGTGCAAAAACCTAATGTGTGCGCAAAACTACACGTGAAAATAAAAAAGCAAGGTTTTAAGTAAAATTTACCAGCTCCAACGTCCAACATAAGAAAAAAGAAGCACGTTTACACAGGGTTGAGGGATGTGGCGGGGAGTGGAAATGATGTTGTTGGAAGTAAAATGGCCGTTCGTAGCAACATACCTACTACTTCTTAATAACATTCTAGCGCTGACGCTGAAATATATAATTTAATTTTAGTATGTTGCTTTTTTTTTGCGCCCCATGCGAGATGTGTGCGCACGGCGGACCCTCCACCCTCTTCTCTGCCAGTGCGAGTATATTATATATTTCGATGGGTGGCTGGCTGTGCAGGAACGCGGGTTTCTTCTCTTTTCTTCTTCGTTACGACGCGCAACTCCCCCGAAACTGCCAAACACCTTCGTGTACGTGTGTGTGTGTGTGTACGCGCTTATGAAATGGCGGCGTACGCTCGCGCAGTTATATCTAACGGGGTATATATTTTCGCAGGACGTGAATTGAATCTTTGAAACAAAGTCCGGTTCAATTTATCAGCGCGCGCGCGCACGCCGAGGTGTCGCCCACTTTTTCTGGGCACCTGTCATCACATCTCCGAACTCATATTTTATCCACTTAGAACAAAATTAAGTAAATATTATTTTTCAAAAAATTATAATTTTGAAAATGACATTTTTTCTTTGTCGGTTCGTATTGATTGCTTGCTGATCCGGGTTTGGGACTACAAATTGTTCTCAATTCGTAGGCCTTAATTCGATTCCGTTTCCGGCGGAATCGAACTACCTACGCCGTTAAATTCCACCGCCACGTCGTCACCACCACATGTAGGCAACACACACTACATGTATACACACTCATACGCGTGCGGCGTGAGTAGCTCAGAGAGGAGAGAGCAGCAACACGTTCTCAACTTCAAACGTTCCTTTGTGTTGAAAAAGGTCCACAAAAACGAATAGAAACAATTAGCTTTTCAACTATCTGCTAGCAGGCTTGATTATAATGATTGCCGACACTGATGGCGCGCCTGAGAAAAGAACAAATGCACACAAAAGAAAGCAAATTGCGCGCTAACCGTTCGTTTTCTGACTCGTCGATTGTTTGACCGTTCGTTCGACAAACGACAACGACGAGGGGCAGATAGTTTTAACGTCATCGACACATACGTTCGGACACAACTATATGTGTACCCACGGTATAGGCACGCGTATGTGTATGTGTTCCTCTTACTTTTTTTAACGCTCCAGCTAAAAAAGGGCGAGCGGGGGAAAGCTACGATGCGCATCAAGCGAAATGGGCAGCGGGGATTAATTTAGATTGATCAGACCGGGCACTCCGCTTTCGGACGCAAGGAATTGATTAGGCAATCTGTTTTAGCGTGTCCCGTCCCGTTTGCCGAGTCCGGGAGTCGAGTGGTCCTCCTTGTCCGGCGCACACACCAGCCTCACACCCCTTTTGGGCTTGCTTCGCCTTGTGCAGCCGCTTCGGATCTGCTTTCCGTTCAAATTCCAGACGCTCTCGACGATAAATTAGTTTCGAATTTAATTAAACGATTCCTGAAAGTCCTAGACCGGCGAGTTAGAGTTTAGAAGCCGAATGCCGTTACATCTTTTAAACAAATCAATTACGACGCGCTTTCATCTCGGTGGAGTGCTCAAATTTTGCAATTTTCGAATTCTCATTACGTGCGGCGTGTGCGAGAGTGCGCGTTTGGTATTGTCGCAAGCATGCAGAAGGAGTAATTTAATGATGCATTCGGGGCTCGGGCTAATCATAAATAATGTATGTGCGTGGAACTCATTACGATGGAATACGATCGCGCAGAGCGTCATAACGATAATCCCGAGCGCTGGCTGGGCCTATAAAGAACAGCGAGAAGAAAAAAAAAACGCCCTTCACACATATTCTTAATGGCCATAGTTCTTTATTTTTTTCGTTCAAGCTCACGAGCTCACCCGCGGTGTTGGTGTATAAACGGGATGCGTTCTATTACAAACACCCTCTTACTATTATTATTATAGGTATCATATGTTTATACAGTGTGTTTTGGTTTTTCACCACGTCTGTTTTAATATGTGACGAATTTGAAATATTTTCATGTTGTTTTAACCTTCGATTGTGTTTAAGTTTGTTGATTTTGCTTTGTGGTCGAAAAGTGGAGGGTGCCGACGAGAAAAACGAAAAAACTAAGCAAAATGTGTCCGGGCAATTCGTACACTCTCCCGCCACACGCTTCATTCATCCCTGGGGTCCGAGTAGTGATCGTAAACTGGCCTCTGCCTCGCCAACCACCCCGGCGGACACTTTTTTGCGCGTGAGGCTCGCACGAAATTATTTAGTCGAGTGTGATTTCTAATTTCGCCCCATTCTTTTTGCGCCGCACCTAGCGCGGTAGTGTTTTCGTGGCTTGGAGGGTTGCGCCGCGCAGCATCTCATTCTTTTCCGGACAATATAACACCTTTAAATATCGCCTCCTCGGCGGGCGGCGGCGGGCGATAAATTTCGCATTCGGGCGCCCTTATCATACGAAACGAAACGCGTAATGGGCCATTATAAGGTGATTCCCTCTCGCGCGCGACGCGCCGAGCTGCCACCTCCGACGCGACGAGCCTGAATCTTATAATTACGCCGTGCGCCGCGACGCCTTGCACAGTTAACGCGCTTTATTACCCGGAGAGTCGTTAAAACGATTTCTTAATGTGTGCGCGCATCAATGGCTAAGATTTTACGGCGTTTCCATGGAGTATCAACGCACTTATTTTGTAATTTGACAGTTTTTTTAACCAACGAATGAAAATTTAAGCAAATTTTTGCAATTTGCGATATGAATTTGTTAAAAACCTCCTGAAATTGCTTTGGGGAAAGGTAGAAGAATACAACACATGTGTAATATTTCATTCGCCATGCACGGCTCGCTAATAAAACTTTCCTCTCCTGCGAAACCATTCCGTTCCGCAAATAAACGCAATCTAATACAATAAGACCATTACTCATATAATCCATTACTTTATCTCCCCGGATAAGAAAACACATTCGGAATCTAATGCCCGAACCGAAACGAAAAAACACACACACGTATCTAAGTGGAATGGACGGAAAAAAGCGCGGCGCGCGGGCGAATGAGAAACGAACGAACACATATTACTTATATGAGTCTTTCGCTGGCATTAGCGGAGGCGGCAGGCGGCGGCGGTGGTGGCGGTGGCGCGCGTGTTGTTCCAACCCGGCCGCACAAGAGCAAGAAATCCACGAGCGTAATGGAAGATGTGAGTTCTTCGCCGCCGCCGCGCACAGCCCCCAACCGCCAGAAACGAATGCGAACGTTTTCTAATTTCCACGCTCCGTTAAAAAATAAAGGAGAGAGAATGGAAAGGAAACGAATCATAATTTGCTCCGCATTGCCCTGAAACATGCCAGATATACAGTGTGTCCTAAGATAATTATGTTTTTCGCCCGGGAAAAAAAACTAACAAGTTAATCTGAAAGCTTTCTTGTCTTAATGTTATCAATTTTTTAGCTTCGTGTTTTTGTTTTTATTTATGCTTGGGAAATTTGTTTACTTCCGGTCGAGTGTTGTTTTCTAGAATTACGGCTCACATTTGCCGGCTACACTTTCCTCGCCTCGCCGTCAGAGTAATAATAATAATGAAACGAGTCTCGTCCGCTCTCCGAGCGCGTCCTCGGACGACAACAACAAAAAGCAATTATCATTTCGGCGCGACGCAGCACCGAAATCCCCATTTGTTTCCCTCCCCGAAATAATATAAAAAGACAAAAAGAGCGCCCGGCACAAAAAGATTCTATAACAGGCAAAAAAACTTAACAATGTCATTAAGATGGCAATCCTCGTGGAGAATAAGGGAGTAATATAAATAATGCACGTGACAACCGACTATATATTATATCTACACACGCGTTTTTCCTGCGCCGGCTTGCTGCTTCTTGCGAAGGACGAAGGAAAATGTCTTCGTGCACATACCATCCACATATATAGATATAAGTATAGATATATAACGGCATAATCTTGGGGGTAGAAATGTATCTAACCGAGGCTTTGTTTTCAGGGAGGAATTAAGCTCGTCTCTAATACGAAATACAAGCGACGCTGGGATGTTGGCTGAGATGTGGGATACACGTGTGTGTGGGGAGTGGAAAACAACGACGAGACGGTAAATACAGAGGGAAAATGTTGGAATCCGCAAGGATATTGCAGTAGGGAAGGTTGGCCAAGTCGTACCCCTAAAATACAATTGGCCCTAAATTGAAAGTTTTGCAACATAATGTCAGTTTTTGACATATTCACCTGCTTTAGTTAATATAGCTTTAATTAGTATGAGAAAAATTAATCATAAATGTTTATATTTTTGTAAAACATCAATTTAACAAAATGTGTAAACGGTACGACTTAACAAACCGGTACCCTAAGTCGTACCATCGATACCCTAAGTCGTACCTATGCCAAAGTAATATCAAAATGAGAATATATATTAGTTTAATAATAATGTATTTATTTGCAAGGTATTTTTTACTCGTTTGGACACCCCAACACATTTGTCATGCATCCAAATTTTGCATTTGAGGCACTGAATCATACTATCTTCTCTATTCTCTTCACGCTAGTAAAGTATCTTCGGCGCGCAACCGTAGCGCCGCCTCGTGGCGCAGCTGAAACCTTGAGTCCCATATGTTCTATAGGTACGACTTAAAAAACGCACAGGGGTACGAGTTAGCAAACATGTGCTTCCCGCTTAAAACAACCTTAAACAATATATCAGAAGGAATATTTAACAAAATCCATGTAGAAAACAATACATGGATAGATGTATACCCAATATTTAACATGAAACACATATTTAGTGGTGTTTTTCTGACCACCAATGCTTTCAAGCTCCAGGAGAAATTGGATGAGCACGAGGAGCAAAACTATTTTTGCGCATAACTTCTTAATTCCGATTCGGCGGGAACTGATTAAAGAATATGCTTCTAGTATGATTTCATGCTGTCCGAATACAGCATTTTAAGTTGCATAAAGTGCCTTCAAGTTAGAGAAAAGACCGAGGTACGACTTACGTGACGGTACGACTTAAGCGACTTTCCCTAATTGTTGAGGTAATGTAAAAAATATTCTCAGAAATAATTTTTCTTTAAATTGCAATCATGAAAACTTTAGATTTTGGCGAAATATTCAATTAATTCAATTAATATGTGTGTAAATGATGTGCCATCATCCATTTTGTTCCGGAATCAAGGGGTGTGTGATACGCGCGCGTATTCTCTGCTCATATGTGGAGGGTGGCGGCGTGTGTGGCGGCGCACTGACCGGGAGAAGAAACGCGACCTGAGCGCAGCGCGCGGAGGACGCGCAGAAGGGAATTATACATACATATGCGCCTGGCGAAGGAGGCGAACGCTGGTACATCTCGGGCGGCGGCGCGGACCGCCCTTCATCTCGAAACTCAGGCGCCGCCACTGCCGCTGCGCTAATCAGCGCGTCCGCCGATTACAGCTGCGCTCATCAGCAGTGTCCCACCACTAAATCACCAGCACAATGAATTAAATTAAAATTAAAAAAAACTACACAGCCCTTGCAATTAAAATTTCTACGTAATTATATTTGGCATTATTATGTTAATTACATTCGCAAAAAAATGTTTGCGGATGTTGCGGTAGTAATTAGGGTGTTCTATTGTTTGGCGCATCATTGATATGCAAATCGCGCACGAAAAAAACTCCCGCACTGTTATTTGAATTAATTAAACACCCTTAGATTTTAATTATACGGTTTAATTGCTTATTTAAACTGAGTCTACACTGGCTTTATTTAACGGTTTTTCTTGTCGTAAAAATGCGAAATTTATTCCACCGCGCGCTGTGAAGGTAAAAAACAAACTAGTAAACCGGAATCGAAAAATATCGGCTGTTACCTTTGCTTCCTAACCTGGGGTAACCTACCCTCGAACGTCAATGCAAAAAATCGAATTTATCGATTGATTTTCCTTCGCCTTTTTTCGTGTTGCCCTATACGTCGTTTTTTTACATCCGCGTGTAAAATGTCTGTTGCCCTCGATGCTGAACGCCAGCGGACATAAAATGCAGCTTTCAAGGACACGCATCACAGAAACACACACACACTTACGCTTTCACGGTAGTGAAGGAGAACGTCACAATAAAATTGGACATTCATAAAAAATATCACCCTCGTTTTTTTCGGCGGGCGCTGCACGCGGCACCCCTATGCAAGCGAACGCTTACCCCACGGTTTTTTTTCACCCCTCGAACATGCAGTGAAGAGAAGAGAACGAGGAACCGAAAAACAAGATAAAAACGAACTGATGCTAACTGCTGCACTAACTAGAAAAAAATAAATTTCATCGAATTCAACTGAAACTAAAAACGAAAATTTTAAGCAAAATTTAGTGTTACTGTAACTTTTATTCTATTTAATTTTAACTCCAATGATTTTTATAAATGCACCCATATCCAAATAAAAAATCAATTTCATTAGACTAAGTAATTATCAACAATGATAAAAAATTCTTTCTGAACTTTGTTGAAAAGACTGATGACTGATGAGAATTAAAATCAGAATTAATTAAATCAATGTGTGTCTAGACGTTTTATTAAATCTCGAGTTTCTCTGCGCTCTCGATTTTCAAATTAATTTTTTCAATTGGAATTTATGACCTACTGTGGGTGCTAAAAGAATCTTTTTCTTGCGCTTAAATTACAATAATTTCTTTTTAATTTGCCGCTTAATGAATTTGTTTGATACGTTATTCGTTTCAATTGCAGTTGCATCTCGTCCTAATTAACATTTCATTGATGGAATAAAATTGTGCTTGCATGAACACTATTTCCTTGCGTTTAAATAAAAACGTCTGGTGCTTATAGCGTGATGCAAAACAAAGTAAGAGTCTGCGCCAGAATCAAAAAAGGGAAGCGAAATCTAAGGGAAAAACTTTTCTTGGCTGTAATTTTGGTTCTTGCTGTGCTGTTGCCGTGCGGGAGCGAAGCCAAGCGTCGAGCGCCAGAGAATGCAAATCTTGTATTTTTTTACCCTCTAACGAGGCCACCCTCGCTTTTTTCTTTTCTTTCCTCTCATTTTCCGCCCGTCCCGCTCTCATCCGCGCCCTCCATCCTCCTGCCCTCGAGCTGCTGCCGAAGAAAACGCAGCCGGCCAGCGAAACAGTCGACGTGCTTTTTTAAGTTTCGGCGTATTAATAAGGCGCAGTGCGCTTCGATCGGCTACGCTGCTCCTTGTCGCTCCCGGAGCACAGGGACGCTTAAAAAAATCTATAACGCGGCGGCGTGTGCGTGGCGGTGCGCGTGTGTGAGCTTATACATAAGATATGCTAGTTAGCAGCAAGCGGCAGGCGGCGGCGCAAAAAAAGCGAGCGTAGAGGAAAATGGAAAGAAAGGAAGTTTTGATTACGTCTACGTCCTGGTAGTTTGCAGCGTTCCGCCATTCCGTATTCCAGCGCCTTGTGTAATGCCGATCTTATTTATATTCGTATGCAGAGAGCTATTGATTAAAACAAAACTAAATTAACGTATTAAATTATTTTTTAGCATTAATAATTATTAGGAACAAAGATATTTAAATTTTATTGCAATTATTACTTGATGAATATAGGTACAAATGCAAATGTTAATAATAATACAGCAAATAATATTAAAAATCACTGATTAGCTGCAAGGAAAGTGATAAAAATATTTTCCTGGATAATATTTCCAGCTTTTACAGAATCCGCGATTTTAATTTGAGCTAAAAACTTAAATCTACTAATTATTAAACTGGGAATTATAGGAAAGGTATTTTTACTGTGCTTCTACTAAAATATCAATGATTTATATTGCGATGGCGTTAAACATGAGCAAATCTCGCGACTTTTTTGATTGTAGCTTTAAAGGCCTTAAAAAATGTCGCCAAAAGGTAAAAATCATCTTCGCATGCACGGCAGTGAAGACAGGAGAGTTGGAGACAGAAATCAATACGATTATTACAACTTTATACTTTATGCCGGCTCGGTGCCGCTCTCCTCGCGAAGGTTCGTTCCGTCTGTCACGAGCGTCTCTTGAGAAGAAAGAAAAAGCGCTCGCCCGCCAGCGCCCGCGCGTGTGTTCGTGCAGTGGTAAGCTTTTAAGTTCACGCATGAACAAGCATGGCTGTCCCGTCAGAATAACATCACATCATCCCATCAACCCGCTCGTTCGCCGCCTCGCTCCCGCAGCCACTTTTATAATACAATGTCATATACGTCGAGCTCGAGTTTTCTTATCTAAATAGAAACACATTATCCAAAAAAGCCGCTAAAAATCGCCCAAATAGATAGCTTTATTACGGACGAGCGACGCGGCGCTTTCATAATATTTCGCCGCTTTCTGCGAAAATAAGCGCTTTTCATTCGAAACGCGCGCAGGGTTGTGGTATGTCTGTATATGTATATGCATTGCAGGGGTGTACGGTCGGCGGCGACTTAAAAACGAGCCCGGATGAACGGCCGGAAACGTTAACGCTGAGGCCAAGGCGAAAAAAGCACGTTAACGAAAATCCCTTTGATGTTTTACTTTTTGCGAAGCGCTCGCGCCGCTACGCCTTTTTTTCCACGAGACTGCGACGCTGTCGTTTCAAATCAACTAACTAAATAATAAATAACTTATTGGCGAGCGTCGAGTACGCAAAAAGTTGGAAAATTTTGATATTAATTATGGATATTACGTTTTTTATGATCAAGTTGGCGTTGTGTGTAGTTCATTCTGTACATGGAAAACGGGGTAAAAGGCTTCTTTGATAAATGCTCCTGCCGCCGAGCATCCATTAGCATTATGCCATTCCGCGAGGAACTGAAAATGGCGAGAATTTCGCCCGTGGCGAGAAATTTATTTAAATAAAATGCGAATTATGCGCAAACACTAAAAACCTTTCGTGGTGGCGTTTAAAATGTAAAAAGCCTGTCGAAACGCGCAAAAAGCATCATGCCACTGATGCGAAATAAAAGCTGAGAATTCAAGAGCAAAAAAAAACGTGGCAATATGTGTATATAAAATTTTTAGAAAGTGATATCTAACAAATATAACTTTATGACAAAAATCATACAGTTACACTAGACACGCGCGAGCAGTAAAAAAGTTACTGGAATATACAGTGGCGGATTACGGCCTAGGCGCACTAGGCGCGCGCCTAGGGCCCCGGCTGCCTGGGGGGCCCCGGCTGCCTGAGGGGCCCCTGGCACTTATATGTCCCATATAGACATAGTAATTCCACAAATACTTCATCAGTTGGTTTTGACCTCAGCCTTTATGAATAGCGTATTGGTTTTCACTTGGCGCCC